CACCTTCCCCCAAACTTCAGCCCTATCAATTATTACTTTGGTGGGGGGGGGGGGGGTGGAAGGGGGGTTGACAGACAGAGGCTACGGAAGCAAGCCATAAAAGATCACACAGTTGAAACTCAATGTTGAACAGGATGTCCAAAGAATCGACTACAAAACACGCAATGGGGTTTTCAAAATTTCCGTTGGCGTATTGGAGCTGGAAGTGAGAGAAAAGGTCAATTCCTGGAGATTTAAACACCCATCACATCCCTGGGTTTATTTGGCAATATGTTATTTGGTATAAATTTGTTCTTCCATATATATTATGTTTCATTTTTAAGAAGTTACATAGTTTTGCGTTTGGCGCAATTTTGGTTGAAATTTTTAAAACTTGATTTTTCTCGAACATTGTAGTTGATTTACTTAATGTGCACAATGTAATGTTCCCCTGGTTGAATTTCATGTCTACAAAGTTTCATTGAAATTTGTCTAAAGATGACTTAGTTATTGCTCTTTGAATGTACCCTATTTTTTTACACACCCAGTATTATATTCCACAAAATCACGTAATAAACTATTTCACAAACGATTTGTCTGTGAGACATGATCTCTACACGAAGATGCAAAACAATATGTCGATTTGAGAAGTATTATTGTTTAGGAATATTGCTTTCGTTTGATTTAGTAGGCGTTTTTCGGCTCTTGCAACACAGGAAATGCCGAAGATTACACGTGTTACTGTGTTAATAATATGCTTTAAAAAAAGAAGAAGAAGACGGAAGAACGATAGATGTTTAAGCCGAAGAAAAGGAGCAAACCACACAAGAACAGAGACCAAGCAACCCACATATCGCTTTAATAAGTTATTGTTCTTAGGGCATAAATAATACTGAAACGCTGTGAAGGTATCCTTGTACAGATATTATTATGTGAATGAATAGAATTAAAAGCACACGAATAATCCATGTTAGACGGCATCCTTAATGTTGTTTGTCGTCCGAAGGTTAATTGTCTAAGGCTACTTACTCATTTTCTCCCTATACCGTCAGGTACATAAGACGGAGAGCAGTCGATATCACGTTTGCCTGTCCCTGGACATGTTCTCCAATTTCAGCATATTATTATTTAATGTCCTGCGTGATGGCTTCATCTCTAATTGTGCCTCTTAGCTTCGAGTTGGTCGTCTTCGTTTTCTTTTTCAAGTTGATCTTCAATACCATGTCTGTTAGGGCAATCTTGTTTTCGGCATTCTTAGAACATGTCCTAGATATCTCTATTGTTTTCCTTTTTATGGTCGTGTTGATATCTTCAATTTCAGTTCTTTCCAAAACTTCATTATTTGTAATAAGATTATTCCATTTTATTAGTAAAATTCTTCGTAAACACACATTTTGTTTGGAAGCATTTTTAGATTTTTGGTTTAATTGATTTGTTTGTTATCCATATCTCTGAACCACATGACAATACGGCTAAAACTTTGCTATGATACACTTTTTTAAAATTTTGTCTTCAATGAAATGATCTTTGACTTCCATATGTTTTTCTAATTTCACAAAAGCGATCCACGCATTTTTAAATCTTTGGTGGATGTCGCCAAGGCAGTCTGCAGTTTCTGACATAATTCAGCCAAAAAGTTTCTAATGGTTGTCGTAGTACTTCTGTCTTAGATACACTATGGCAGCTAGTTCGTTTGATTGTTGTTGTGTTGTTGTTTTTTGTTGTTTTTTTGTTGTTGTTTTTTTAAATTGCATTTCATGTACTGTGGTGTCATCTGCAAAATCTAAATCTCTTAAAGATGTGCAATTTGCCAGTCCAATGCCTAGCTCTATGTCCTTGCCGTGTCTCATTACAAAATCGATCATAATTCTTAAGAGTGCAGGTGATAATAATGCTTCTTCTTCTTCTTCTTCGTTTATCCCGTGGTTGGGGCAACCGTGAGGCACCTGACCACTACATCTGTACCTGATCTCTCCGGTCAAAGGTCCGCCTGTTGCTCTCTTATTCTCTCATCTAATGCTGTTCTGATACGAGACAAAACAATAGCGCAAAATCCTTTTCCAGGTACTGTTAAAAGCGTCATTCCTTTCCAAATGCTACAGTCTTTTAAGTCTCCCTTTCCAGATAGTTTTGTTTTAATAAAAAATATGTCCTTTTCTCCATTCCAAAGGCGTGTTTTCTTTTTCAAGAATTTCATTAAATAGCAAAAGTAATATCTCATAACCTTCTTTTCCAATAGTCTTTAGCATCTCACGGTAATTCTGTCTTTTCCTGGACTTTTGTTACCTTTCATTTTCAAGACTGTTGATAGTATTTCCGGCACGGCTATTTTGTCTGTACAATATGTTTAATTCACCCGTTGGCTATACATTGATTACGTATATCGTAAGATCACATTTATAACGTCCGAGAATCCTGAAATCGTCCCCTATCCAAAAAAAAAGTTCACCAGTCGGAGAAGCGGATTGCATACTCGGCCCCTCCCACCCCAGGTCAGTATTGTTCCATTATTCTTTACGGCGAACTTCTGTCTGAAATTAATACGGGAGCTGTCCCACGGAAAACCGGAATTTGGCTGTAATTTGAAAACTATTTAATATTTTTACATTCTGTAAACGCACACGTGTAAAACAATCATTTAGAAATTTCCCGATTGAGCACCATGAGCATCGCACAAACCAAACGAGCACAGCAGTTCTCAAAAGATGGCTACCCCCTTGGAAAATTGGTCAAGGGTAGAAGTGAGGTCTGTCATTCGGTTTCTGACCGCAAAAGGTCTCAAACCTCTAGAAATACACACTGAAATAAAGTCAGTTTATGGGGAGAAAGTAATGGCAAAGTCACAAGTATATGAGTGATGTAGTAAGTTCAAAGCCGGGCACTCCGATATCAATGACAAAGTTTACCCAGGATCTTGTTTTTCTGCCAAGACTGAGGACAACAAGAGTCGCGTCAACGAACTTATTCAAACAGACAGGCGCCTAAAAATTCGCGAAATTTGCGAGTCGCTAAAAATTTCAAAGTCGACTGTCTATAGGATAGAGTTTGATGAGCTGCACTATTGGAAGGTCTCTGCTTGATGGGTTGGGGCCGAAAAAGACCAGCGGGGTCATTTTGCAGCATGGCAACACAACGCCACACACCGCAAACGTCACGAAAGACTGGTTCCAAAGGTTCGGCTAGGAAGTTCTACTACACCCCCTTCACAGTCCTGACTTGGCCCTGTCAGATTATCACCTTTTTGAACCAATGAAACGCCATATTTCTGGACAGCGATTCACCGACGACGAAGACCTCGTGGAAGCCGTGAACGATTGGTTGAAATCCCTTGACGAAAGATTCTTCAGGGAGGGTATCTTCTCCCAGATCCAGCGATGGGAAAAATGTGTCCAGCGGGATAGTGATTACATTGAGAAATTAAGCACATGTTGAGGTATGATGTGTTACAGTTTTATTATAATAGGACAAAGATTTTCGCTTTTACGGACCTTTTCCGGTTTCCTGTGGGACAGCCCTCGTAGATCTCAATTCAAGTACCTTGAGAGTATTATCTCCAAAACTGCAGACTACTAACGACGTGCATCAAAGACTTAAAACTGCAGGAATCGTTTTGACAAATAAATTGTAAACCAAATGAAATTCATAGACCATCTTGGTGGAGACTATTGTAAGTATTATGATAGTAATGTTTTGATGTTTCTGGTGTATCATTCAGAGGTGTGGAAAATAAACAAAGAGAATACAACGAAGATAAACAATCAAAATTTCAATGATAAATCTTATAAAATAAATGGACTAGATATATTAAAAATAATGAAGTGTTGGTAAGAGCTGAGATTGAAGCTATAAGCGAAACCAGAAAAAGGGAAAGGTGGAGATATCTTATGTGAGAAATCGAGGGGAAATCAGGCGCTCGTCAAAATAATAAAAATCGAAAGATAAAAGCATTTTTCCGCCGGTTTGGCACTTTTATCGTATTTTTATTTTTTGGCTATACTACACCTTTCTTGTCCTTTTAAAACACATTTGTATGCAAATTTTACTGGAAAAAAGGTGATATTATAAGATACAAGCTATGAAAATGTTCTGTTCCCAAGGACTCATAAGCTATGGAAGTTACCAAATATTCGGGGACATTTTCGCGATAATTTTATCTCTGAAAACTGGTGACCCGCACTTTATTAAATCTGGAATATCTCAACTTTTATTCAAGATGGATGTGTATTTTTTGCATGGTATGCAAGACAAACGAAGAAGCTTTAAGATGATACAATAACCTCCTCATGCCCAAAAACTGACGAACGCCCGGCCCAATTCCACTGTGTGAGTGACACAGATTCTAATGTATATTTTCATGTATCGGAGACGTCCGAGATTGGCTGCATTCCCTTGGCCAGAATTTTATTTAAATGAAGCAACATTCTGGCATGAACGTCGGAAGAAAATATATCGTTCCTTCCGTAAACTGCGTTCAAGAGAAGATGAAAAGGATGCAAAAGTTAAGTTCAAATATTTTTTTAAAGTGGTATTTCAGCTGCCATTTTCCCCTTACTTTTTTTGGAGCCCTGTATACACTGGTATAATATTATGGTTTTAACATAATGAGTGAGCCATTAGCAACGTTTGCAGGAATGAAGACTGTGGGTGGAATGATTTTTATTTAAATCACATTGCCCACTTTATTGCTGTGTTGAAAATAACGTTACGACCCGTGCAACACGTGATGTAACGCTTCAAAATTGCCGCTCCGTTTGCTCAGTTGGTATCGTGCAAGACTGCAGAATGAATTATTCTGGTTCGAATCCTCGACTTGGGTCGTTAGGTGGAGTTTTCAGGACTCTCACCCTGTTCTCTCTGTCATATTGCAGACGGACATTAATTTCGGAGATCCTGCCTCTCAGATCATTAATAGTGTAGGTAGGGGTGTTAATCCCATTCACTTACTTACGATTTAAAAGTACGCATTATAGCATGAGAGCAGTCTAGAAAGACAAAGTCAGAAAGAGTCAAAGACAAGCCTAAAAGGGGATTGTGTTATCTCCACAATCGTCGAAACCATCACAACGGTATGAGGCAGGGACACAACCTCCGTTGTTACAGCTGATCGCCATGGGTCCAGTACAGCAGTACAGCCAGCAGCACAATTCTGCTCATCGAAACTGTGCGAGCAGTCAGACTCAGTACATGTATCACAGGTCCATGCAGGATCAATGTATCTGTCGAACAGGCGAACGCATCGCTTTGACAGCTTACTTCCTGTGGAAGGTGGGTTCAAACATCAATTTTATGTGGGGCTATGGTATGGGAAACGGGACAAAATCAAAAGAAGGCTTCAACCATAAAAAAGATCCTACTTTTATGAACAGGGGCGAAGGCTGACTTGTTTGACAGGGTAATCAAAGTGAAACGGGACCAGATATGGCCTGGAGATATCATACAAGAATCTTACTCGAGGCGGCGACTCTGAGTTGTGAATGAAAACAAATCCGGAATTCATATTGTATGTTCAACCGCCAAAATAATCGGGAAAGTATCTTATTAAATATCAATTCCAACAAAAATTAAATTGGCTTGTAATACTTTAGATGTGGATACACAAACATAAAGCAAAGAAGCAGAGATGTCAGTACTAGATCTATATGTTATAAATCTACCAGTGAGTCTAACTCTTTGGTAGAACATGACAATTATCATTTTTTTTAAATTTCACATTTGGCTGTTTTTGTCTAGCCTTTCGCGGCCAGGAGCCGGTGTCATAATCGAGGTCACGATCTGATTATAGGACGGTAAAAAGTCGAGGAAAAGAAACAAGCACTTGCAGCAGTCAAGAGATTATTAGGAGTTAGTTCCCCTCACATTTGAGAGGTAGACTCGACCAGTGTAATAGTTAGCCTACATAATCAGAGGTTGTGACTGCTTATAACTGTGGTCCCAAAGGGGTGAACAGAGTATTTGTGGCAATGAAACAGTTTTGACTGCTATGCACATGTTCCCTTCAACTTTATTGGTAGATTCTTCCAGCCCCACTTTAAGCTTACTTAATCAAAACTTGTGACCTCTTATGGAGTCCCCCGAGAGGGGTGAGTAGGCTATTTCTGCGGCAGTGAAACTGTTTTCAATTTTATTGTTAGGCATACTGTTCATTGTTGATTATGAACGTCGTTTTACATTTAATTTATGAGGTTTACTTTTATGGGTAAATTTGACATCGACAATGTTTCAAAATTAGGAAAGGAAGCAGGGATTATTTGATTGTATAGACGCTTCGCCATGTTTATGAAAGAGAGAACACTTTGATTTTTATCGTTTATAACACGACAAAATATCTTTTAAAAAAGGAGCCGGAGTCTATGGTCTCTTCAAGACTGTTCCATTTCCAACAACAGTACACCACCTCGCTTACAAGTCATGCGTTTTCCTACTCTTCTCTATAAATATTAGTACATCACTATTTTTTCCACACACATTGGAATCCGGCGCTTGTCAAATTTTGTTTCAGTAAGTGTTTTATGGCACATGCAACACAATGTTGTTGTTGTTGTTGTTGTTATCGATCCAGCAACAGCTGGGCTCTCGCCCTTCTGTCCAATGCTATGTAGTGATAAGTGCAGGTTAGCTGCAGTTGCTGTAATGTTCCATAGAGTGTGTTGTCAATGTTAGGTCTCGGAGGGAGAAGGGTAGCTGTTATGACATTTAGGACTGTACAGTTGAACAGGTGCTGTTCCACAGTCTCATATAGTCAGACAAGGGACACATTGGGGGAAGTTCCGGGTTTATTATGTTTAGGTGGAAGTTGAGCTGTATATGTTCTGTTCGTAGGCGGAAGATCGTGGTCTGTTTCTTTCTCTGAAGGCGGCTGATATTTTCATTCCTTTTTGTTGTGGTCATATGTTTGAAAACTGCTCTGCCTGTCTTTCCCACGGCCCATTCGCTCATCCAATCTTGTTTGTTGTTGCTTTTGATGATTTGTTTTGCAGTGTTGTATGACGTTGGAGTGTTAGGTTGTTCCTGTCTAGATCCCCGTTTGGCAGGTGTGTCTGCTCTGTCACTTCCAGGTATGTCTGAGTGTCTGGGGACCCACTGCATTACTAGGTTGATGCCACAGGATGTTATCAGATGATGGTGTCCAAACAGTATATGGGTCAAATCTTGGTTAAGATGATGGTCATTTTCTATGGCTTGTAATACTGATAGTGAGTCAGTGAAAATCACATGCAACACAATAAGTCATATAAGTGTCGAACATCAAATGTGTTACAAGAGAGAAACAAACACAAAAAGCAGGAGAGGAGATAAAGACGATAGATGTTTGACCGGAAAGAAGAAGAAAACCACACCAGGGCACCCGCCAACTACCTATGTCAATTTTTAGACTTACGAAATTTTTGTTATACGCTTATAGCCTATTCATTTGCTTTGCTTTTATGGAAAAATACCCATATTAAGTATGTTGTCCCATTCAGACCGTGCACTTCCAACCACCGTACGCTACATCGCTTACTGATTATACACCCTTCCTACTCTTCACGACAGTTACTACCTTCATTTAGAAAGTGGGCTTTAAAATGTACTTCAAAATATGTTCACCTAACCATTGTTTTAAAAGCATTGCACTACAAATTCATGCAGCTTACCAATTTAAAGACATGAAAACTCTGGGGGGTTTTAACACATTAATTGTTCATCTACCACAGGAGTCACCCAAGATATGGCCATTCAAAATTGACCTTAAAAATCATGCTTGGCAAAGTTGTGAAAAATCAAAGAAACGTAGAAGTGTGTTAGTGATTGTATTGATGTGCGCCAACATTGATGAAATGTTCATGTATTGCACATCAAATGAATGTAGAGGTTTTCGTCGACAAGAAACGATATTTTATTGCGATAGTTTGAAATAAATTGGAAGAAACAGTATAGTCACAAATATCAAGCAAATTTGACTAAATCAAAACACGTGCTCTTAAGTGTTTTGTTTAAGAGAATATGGTTTTGTGAAGAGCACTAACCCTTTGGGAATGGGCTGTGATAAATTATCTGTCATTTCATCTCAAATGTCTCGGAGAGTTACAAACAAAGCGTCTGAACTGGGAGCAAAGTCGCGTTTCTGTAACTGCTGTTTCATGGGGCTCCGCATATTTGAAGGATTCATATCCCTGCACTTTACTGATGACTGCTCTGTCGTCGGCTTGATTTGCTTTGTCAAAATTGTCTGAAAGCATTGGCCCTGTGAGAAGGTGTATTTGTCAAGTAGAGAGATGTCTACTTTAATTAACCATGACGAAAATAAGGTTCCAGCACTTGCGCAATGTTATCCTCAAAATGAAAACTCCATTGATTCTCACGAGTGGGGATTTATTCATTCCAGTCAGGCCACCTCTAAACCATGGAAGTTCCGAGGTCTCTGTTCCTAAGTGACAAATGGTTATGTCCAAAAACCAACTAACACAGTCCATGCTCATAAAGGGTTGATGTTCTGCAAAAAACTAAAGTCTCGAAAACAAAATTTACTGCTGAGAACATTTAACGTTACATCCAATTTTCAAGGGGTATGTGTGACTTCTCTGTTTTGTCATCCGTCTGCAAATATCATAATAAAACATTGCTTATTGCAGAGACAGTAATATTCTCCATTCATTTGATATGCAATACGAATGTCAAGCGCAAACACGCTTTTACGTTTTTTTGATTTTACACAATTTTGCCAAACGACGTGATTTTGTAAAGTTATTTTTTGTAACCATATCTCGAGCGGCTCACGTCATAGATGAAAAATGAATGTGTCAGCTGATGCAAGATTTATTTAGCTTTAAATTGGATGCTGCGTTCGTGGGTAGTGCAAGGCTTTTGCACGGTGACTGGGTTAACATTTTAACATTTCTTTTGGACGCTACTGTATGTGTGTCTGTGTGTGTGTGTGTGTGTGAGAGAGAGAGAGAGAGAGAGAGAGAGAGAGAGAGAGAGAGAGAGAGAGAGAGAGAGAGTGCACGCGTGCTTGTCTGTGTGAATGGTAGGAGTGAATGTAAATAAGATGTACACTCACTGAGCAGAGTATCCAGACTGAGAAATAGAATGCAGACGTTGTCAAGGGAGAGGATATTGAAGGATCTGTTGAGATAACAGACTTGTTGATCTACGGTGGTAGATGCAAACACTGTAACACAAAGTTCACATAGCTTTGAATATGGGCACATGCATTGTTACATTGTAATGAACGTCAACCCCATCAAGTTAGCAAAAACATGTCCTTTAACACAAATCCTTTTAAATTGGTTAAAATGTATGGCAACTGTTACCGATGGCAGACCCAACAACATCCCCAATAGAATTTCAGATTAGCATTTACGGAAATAGGAGGGTGTGATTACTTTTTTTCGGCAAACTGCAATATAACGGGAAAATTGTGTCATGCCTTTAAGTTCTGGGAGAGTGTGATGGATACATGGATCGAAATAGCTTCTATTTAAAAAAAGAACCAAGCTCCAGGATAGAGATACGTATGGAACCTTGGTTCAATAACCCAAACATAAATATAAAGGGAAATCATTGTACATAAAAAGATGGATTAATTCGGGTATAAAATATGTATATCACCTGTATGATAGGAGAATATCAAACAGTAAGGAGGAATTGTCTCATATCACACGAACGTAATTTATTAAGCTGCCTTTGATTTTGACTATTATGTGTTGATGAATGCTCTTACTACACAGTGGAAGCAAGACGTCAGTGACAACAACATCGAGGAACTTTTGTTTAACACCAGGGAGGTAAATGCGATTGGTACGAAAACTGTTTTAGAGATACTGCGCAAATCGAACAGAGAGATCAGACAACTTCTAAAATATAAAAGACATGTAGAAATTTGCGGTCGGAATTTTTGGATGAGAAAAATGAACATTGACATAACATGTAAATACAACATAGCACACAAGTCAACGAAAGAATCTCGACTTAGATTATTGCATTTTAAAATCCTCCATAACCTCTTCCCAAGTAACATTCTACTCAATCGCCTAGGCATTGAAAATACTGAACTATGTGAGCACTGTGGTTTCAAAGACGTTATTGAGCACATGTTTATTCATTGTACCCTATTAAAAAACTTCTGGACATACGTATTTCATATAATTTGTCTTAAAGTTTCCTCCCGTTTTCCCGTGACGGACTGTAACCTACTTTCTGGTTTCGGTGAACGAGGTCAAGTTGTAACAGACGCCCAGTTAAACATCGCTAACCACATTCTTTTGATCGCAAAGATGTGTGTTAGCAAGATACGCTACAGCAAAGCGACACATAATATTCAAATCTTATTTGAATCGGAGCTGGAGCTGAGAGAAAGTAAGTGTTCGTTAGGTTCA